CCTTCCAGCTTTATTCTGATTTAAACTTGTTTGTAATGAAGGTGCTTGTGGATTACGAAGCGGCCAGTTAATGTCTGATTTCGGGGGGTTTTCATGCAGGTCTCTGTATGCTGCTCTCAGTGCTGGAAGAACAAGCAATGGATTCATTGATGCTCGGACCGGACAAACAGAATTTCATGCAGTCTATCATGCACATCATGAAAAAACAGACCGATGGTAATGGATGAGTGAACTCTGGAGGCTGTGATGGAAAGAGTCAGAGACCGGGGACTGTTATGCCTTTATGCCCGAGTGGTTCATATAATAGTATGTAATCTTTGACGTAGGGCCAAAGTCGAGCCCGGAATTACAGTTGTAAAAGCCATGATGGTTTTTAAGCAGGTCATCGTCATGTCTGCAACCTGGTTTTCTGACATTTTTGCAGCGGTCACGAAAGGAGTCGCCATAGTTAAATAAACCCATTGTTTGCAGTGGGCAGGTTTTTGTTTTTTGTTTTTGCCAGAAACATGACTGTGGGATCTGCAAACAGTTATCAGTGCAGCTATCACACAATCATGTGACTTGGGGGGGGGTGGTAGGTGGATGTCAGAACTTCACATTTGGGTCAGAAGTCTTCCATAAGTTCAAAGGGTGGCTATGTGGCAGGATGTTCACGGAAGGTTGATGCAAAGACATCAACTTTCTACGGTGTGTTGGCAAAGCGTTTGGTCATTTATACTTTCTGGTCAAGTTTCTGTTGTCCAACTCGGGCACTGAACCCTCATGTAGAGTCTTAGATAGTACAGGTAGGACCACAGCCGAGCCCAAAATTTCCCGGGCGAAGCGAGACAAGTGTTAAATGAATTTTGCCCCATTTTACGACCTTTCTCGCCCTAGTCGTTAAGTGAATCGCTGCAGTTGTTAAAGTAATAAAACCCGGTTGTTAAGCGAACCTAGCTTCCCCCCATTGACTTTTGCTTCTCAGAAGGTCACAAAAGACCACACACACACACACACACACACACACACTGCAGTCGACATATATATATGTCAGTTGCCAAGCATGTGAACTGTGTTCATGTGACCACGCAGATGTTGCCGTGGTCGCAAGCGTGAAAAACGGTCGTAAGTCACACTTTTCATTGTGACTTTGAACGGTCGCTAAACAAAAAGTTGTAAGTCAAGGACTACCTATACTCCCACCTTCGAGGTGAGGCTGACTCCCTTAGCCCAACCTGCCGTACGAGGTGGGAATGCTCCGTATTCCCACTTCAGCTTCCAGAAGGAACCAGGATTGGAAGTTTTAACAAACAAACCAGGATCATCATTATGTTTTTTTGTTGTTGTCGTTGTTGCTCCAGGTGAAATCGATGACCCCTTTTGGCCCGTCCTCCACTGTTTCATGGTGATCCTAGATAAGTTGGGATCCAAAGTGTGGGGTCAGTTGGCGGATCCTGTCCGCGCGTTCCAGGCAATCATCAATAACGCCAGCTATAAGAAGGAAATAGAGAGCATTCGACAAAAGTGCTCCAGGTCTGTGTCTTTTTCTTCACTCTAATGACAGGAATCTGGAAAGGGGGAATTCAGATTTAAGCAACGCACCCCTGTCTCCCTTGGAGTTGTGTCCTTGCTCTTTCTTAAAACTATTCTCAAGCAGTTTTTCTCTTGTTGTTGCATGCACAGGGTCAAATTTTTAGAAGCCTTTTTCTCTTCTCTAGTTGTCCTGGTCCCACTCAAAACAATATCATGAAAATTATAGTCACGAGAACGTATATTGAATTATTCATGTACTAACTGCAGCTAGAATTGTATTTGCACAAAATTGGGAAACTGTCTGACTGAAGAGAATGTGATAAGAAAAAAATATTAGACTCTGCAGAAATGAATAGGTTAACCCTAGCAATCCCAAGAGAAGGAACACATTGAAGACTATGCAATATGGGATTTATTTTATCAACAATATGGAAAACAAATATGGAAGTTAGAAATTAAAGAAGACCAGTGCAAAATAGTAAATGTAAGAATTAAAAATGTTGAGATGGGGAACGTTATAAGAATTAGATATATGATGTAAATTAGTATTAAGAATAGAGTACTAAAGCTAAGCAATGAATATGTATAAACTATAATGGTTATTGCACAAGATACTTATACCCAGACAAATGAACACACTGTTCAAATGAAAGATGGAATGTTTGTATAAATGAAAATTATGAAAACAAAACATTTTGTTCTGCATCGAAAACAAAACTGCCTTCGGTCCATATGCAGCTTGTCTTTTCTGATCTATGAATAATCCGAACCCTTTCCCCGACCTCCCTAAATTTCACTTCTGGCAAATTGAAAGCCAGTTTGGTTTAGTGGTGAAAGGCTACAAAACAAGGGACCGGGAGCTCAGGCGTGAAAGCCACCTAAGTGACCTTGGGCCAATCCCCAGGAGGCAGTCAGCGAGTTGTAGTTCTGCCTTAGCCATGAAAGTCATCTGAGTGAGTTCGGGCCAAAGACCAAGTGATGGTGAGTGTTCTAGTTCCACCACAGACACGAAAGCCATCTAGGTGAGTTTGAGCCAATCACTGGGAGATGGTGAATTCTAGTCCCACCTTTGCCAACTGGATAACCTCGGGACAGTCACACGCACCCACCCAGTTGACCAATAGCCAGGGGCCATCAGTCTAATCTTTTTCCAGGTGTCAGGAAGATGAGCATAGTTTTTTTTTTTATTGCTCCTGGTTGTAAACCGGGACATGCTGCTTTTGGGCTTTCTTTGATTTTCTTCTTCGTTTTTCAGCACCAAATCAGAGCCACCATCCGACTACGAAGATGTAATTACCTGCAGCCAAATTGTATATAACTACAACCCAGAAAGGCTCCAGCAGGTAAATTCTGAATATCCTAAATGGTATTATTTAGTTCAGTACTTAGTAACTGTTAGAAGTTATGACAAGCTGCCACGGTTGAGAAACACGCGGTCCAGGAATGAGTGGAAGTGTTCAGTGACTCTATCAGACCTGCTGCCACTTAAACCTCTAAATAAAAACGATCCTTGGCTCCATTTGTTGAGAAAGGTGTAATTTTATTAGAACTCCCCTGCGTTGCAGTAGCGCTTAGGCAGAACTGAGAATCGTGCACCAAAAAGTTCCCCTTTTCCCTCCCTTCATTGCTCCAGTCGCTGATGCCCCCTGTGCCCAATGTTTTCAAAATGGGCACTTCAGGATAGGTTGGCATGCCGCTGCCCTCTTTTCCCAACCTTGAAGCAGCTTCCTCGGGAGATAAGAGTAGTTACTTTCGCCTTCCCCCAAATAGTCCCTCTCCCATCCAGCCTTCCCCAGAGTCCGTGGCAGTAGTCCACGTCACCGCATGGTGGCAGCTGACAGACTGTCTGGATTATCTTTCAGGACTCCAGACTGAGGACTGCTGCTTGCTTGGACTACTGCCCCAACTTTTATGAAGACATGCAGACCCTGACCGACATATTCCAGTATGACATCGGGCGGGACATGCGCCTGCACTACAGCACTTTCCTCTGGTTCATTCCTTTCTTCCATTCCCTGATGGACCTCAAGGAGCTGGGTGTCGCCTACAGCATAGTGGTCATCCAGCACCTCTGTTCCGAAGTCAAGGAGGTCCTACACCACGCCGACCAGCCATGCGACAAAGTGTCTCAGTTTTTCATCTGGATCCTCGTGGCGGTGGTGGAGCTCAGCCTGAAGAAGAAGTGCTTCAATGCTTTGTGGGCCAGCTCTCAAAACTGGGTGGAGGTGGTGGTGGTGTGCGCCGGGCTTCCAAGCATGGCGTTCGCTGGCGGAGCCGAGCGGGACATGGCCAGGAATGGACCCAGGCGCCTCACAAAAGTGCCCTCATGGGAACCAGATTCCATACAGTCTGTTTGCATGAATTTGATCCGGGTTCTCCTAAAGGAAGGCTACCAGATGGGACAGAAGGCCTCCCTGTTCCTGGACGAGCTGAATTTGCTCCGGCGTAGTCACAAAGACTGGAACCTGAGCCCCCAACAGGCGCAGGAATTACAGACCTGCTTGATTGACATCATAGGAAGCCTCTGGGCTAAGTCATCGAGCGCTTCCTCCCACGGAGAGCATCTGACCAGCCTCATCAGAGGACCAGAGGGCAGAAGTCCAGGATATCTTCCTCAAGAAGAGAGTTTATGCGAGAAGAAATATAGCTTGGATGAGGAAGCCAAGGGGTCCATTTGTGGAGAGCAAAGCCATCAGAAAAATTCGGAGCTCCATTTGACTGACTTTAAGCAGGAAGCTAAACAGGGTTTAATGCATGAGGAGCACATCTTGCATTCTACCTCAACGGGGGGACCCAACCAGAACAATGGAAGCTTCCACTCGATCCTGGTGAACCAGGATAGCTCCCTAAACCAAAGCAGTTTTGACAAAGACTTTCAGAAGAAAGAGCCCAGTGGGAAGGAAGAGAAGCTCGGAATTGCCAACGCTGACCTCCACCAAAAGCCCAGCAGTTCTGCTGTGGAAGAAAACCAGGTTCCGAAAACAATCCCTGAGAAAATTGAGTCAAACAAAGCAGACTTCACTTTGAAATTAAAACAGTTTGTGGAGAGTAGGAAGAGGCTGCTGGGGCCGGAGAGCGAAAATCAGCAATCCTTTAAGGAGGAAAAGCAAGATCACCAGGAAGGAACGTCAAGAAGCACCTCGAGGGATGGTAGCAGCACGTCCAGTTGGCTTCCCTGCAGACCATCGCAAAGTTCAGAGAACGGCTTCCAGGCTGAAATCCTTTCCATAAAGAAGGAACCCAGAGACAGCTTGGCAGAATTTAAGAGAACTTGGACAAGCGGGGAATATTCAGAAGAAAGTAGCACAGATGATGACATGAATGTCTCCTTGATGGATATTAGGAAGGACCTGATGAGAAAGAAATCGGTGGTCCAAGCAACAGAGCCCGAAGTAGACAGAGAGGATAGATTATATTTAGCTGATCGTCAAGAAAGTAACTTGATTCCTATTCAAAGAAAAGTTCAAGGGGCGTGTAGGTCTCTATCTGAGAGCAAAGGTCCCACGTTGCCCCCTGGAACAGGTGGGCCTTCAAGCCAAGTCATCATCATTTCGGACACGTCTTCCGACGAAGAAGAGAACAAAGTGAACTTGAGCCGGAGGAGCCAAGAAGACGACGTTAGCAGTGGGTCCCTTCAGAAGGACCACGAGGCCAACAAACAAGAGGTCATAACCGCTTCCAGTTCCCCGTTGTACGGGGAATGTGAATCGCAGTGCTTTGAGTTTGAAACCGAAGACGAGATCTACTCCGTTTGGCGAGACAGCCAGTTGGACGAGACAGCGGAGGCAGGTGTTCTTCCAGGGAAGACCGCTGGCAGGCGCGACTTGGCATTGGCTAGGTGCCTTAGCGAGCAGGATGATGATACAGACTGTCTTGGGGATGACGTTATCGAAAAAGCCGCGCAAGAATTGGAACAGCAGGTGGAAGTCGGTAAAACCAAACCGAAACTTCCTGTCCAAGCCAACGAGGAAAATGTCAGCGAGGGAAGCACCACTGTTTGTTCCAGGTATTTCACAGCCACGCACGACGACGACGGCCGGGAGTCTCCCAGACAGAGGTCAGCTTCCGCATCCCCTACGCCACTATCACCACCAGCATCTGGTGGATCTTTGACACCGTCTCTGGAACCAGCTCCCGGACCAAGGAAGAGTTTGGCCAAATCCAAGTGTCTCAACACCGCTCCACCAAGTCCTGAGGAAAGGAGGCCTTTGACCGAAAAGGAATCGGCCCGTGAGACGCTGCCTGGATTGCCTCGTCCTTTCGTGGTCCCCCCCAAGAAAGTCCACCATTTCCCCGAGCCGACGTCCACCGTCGAAAAGCTGGGCCTGAAGAAGAAACCCCGCAAAGCTGCCGAGCTCTCCCAGCGGTCTCACGACACCCTGGCCCAGTTGCGTAGCCATGGAAAAACAGCCGGGCAGCTTCCCCAGAAGAACCAGAAGAGGAGGAAGCCCAAACTGATTGAACCTCGGCGGATGCTTATCCGGAACAAAGCGCTGTTGGCCAGCCAAGAACGCCAGTTCTTCAGGCAGTCAAGGTCCAAGGAGAAGAAGAAGAAAGGGGAGGAAGTCCCCAGAGCAAAGAAGCCTCTTCCCAAGAAAACGGTGGAATCTACTGGTAAGAAGGTGGTTGACAATCCAAAAGGAAAACCAAGCCAGGGCAAGAGTTCTTCTAACCACCTGAAGAAATTGCTACCGCCGCATTCGCGAGAGGACGATGGGTCCCATTCTGCATCTCTGGAGAGAGAGGGTCTCCCATCATCAAGGCAGGAGACTTTCAGTCCCGATTCAGCCGTTCCAGGGTGTTCCACCTCTGCTCCAGGGAGTGTCTGCTCTTCAAGTGACGTTAGCGGGGCCAACTCGGGTTCCTCTTCTGATTGGCGCAACAAGAACTCGAGCGAGAATGCGTCTGGGTTAAAGGAGGACTTGTTCCTAACCCAGAGAGACCCGGTAGACATGGAGCTTTGCTCGCTAGACGAAAGTAGCAGTAGCTCAGAAAATGGAGATGATCTCCTGACCTTGCAGGATCAACTTCAGGCCGTTGAGAAAGGCAGACACCCCGGATGTCCCAAAACGGCAGAAGTAGCCCAAGTCCACCCTCTGCCTCACCCTCCAGATCACATCTTTGCCAAGCCCTGCATGCTTGCCAAGCCTTCCACGAAGAAAACCTTCACCTCTGTTGCTTCCTCTCGGATTGCCAGCCTCTCCAGAGACATTGAGAGCAGCTCCGTGCAGGTGGCCAAGCCCAAATCCAGCCTGGCCCACTTTGCTGCCTTGAAGGCGGACGACCTGAGGCCCAAGCTGACTCTGGTCAATCTCCTTGGCCCTAGGAATGGAAATAACCTCTCAACACAGCCCTACGGTGTCCAACAAAACAGCCGCCTGGTCAGTACACGCTCCGACACAGGTCAGGAGACATGCCCGTCCTTTGCCCGAGTCACCAGTTCTCACAACCAGCCTAGAGACCACAGCATTTTCACCAAAGAAATCCTGAAGTGGAGCTATGATATGTTTGCCAACTTCAAGGAGCTGGGACCACCAAACCATCTCTTGCAGGCAGTTGTGAACTCTGTTCCGGTCAAGTTTCAGAACTACGATGACTATTTTAAGACTTTCTTCCCTTTGATGATGCTCAATGCCTTTGAAGAGGTAAGCGGCCTTCTTTGTTCCAAGACCATTCAGATGTCTCAAGTGTCTGTGTGTTTTATGTATACTGAGAGCTTATGTACCGAAGACAAATTCCTTCTGTGTCCAATCACACTTGGCCAATAAATCTATTCTATTCTTATTCTATTCTTATTCTATTCTTGTTCTGTTCTGTTCCGTCCCGTCCCGTCCCCTATTCTACTCTACTCTACTCTACTCTACTCTCTATTCTATTTTCTATTCTATCCCTTAATCTGCTCTGCTATGCTGTACTCTACTCTACTCTGTGGAGATTCTCAATCCTCCAGGTCATGGTTGTTCCAAAGGTGCTTTTCCAAAAAGCAGCCAGACTTTCTTGAGGAGCTGTGGCTCATATTTATGACGGCCGCAGTGTCCTGGCATCACGCAATCCCCACGTTGTGACCTGACGAGCGAAGTCCATGGGGGAACCCGATGCGCTTCCCAACCATGGGACTAACTTAACGGCTGCAGCGATTCCCTTAACCGCCGTGGCCAGGAAGGCCGTAAAGCAGAGCTAAACTCGCTGAACCGTCTCGCTTAGCAACCGAAATTTGGCGCTCGGTTTTGGCCGTAAGTCAAGGGCCATGTGCCTTTTAGTATTGGCATTCTTGTCCTTCTTCAAGCTTCCCACCCGGGAGGGGGTTTCCTTGGAGGCCTGAAACCTTAGAGGGAATAATAAGTGTTTCCACGTCGGAGCAAAACATGGTGTCGCGGATGCACTGAGGTCTCGTCCAGAGACGATGTTAAACTAGTGTCATCGTCTTCTCCCCTGTTTCCAGGTCACATGTGAATGGCTGGACAACCAGAAACTGAAGAAATCAAAGCCTTTTCATTTGACCTTACTGAATTTCAACATGGACTTAAACAAGGCAGATTTCACAGGTCAGAAAACAAAGACGTGAGCTTAAGAGACGAAGACAAACGCAGCTTTGCGGCCCCCAAATTGAGCCCAAATCTGATGGCTGCGAAGTGAGAATTTTGATGGGGGGGGGGGCGGGGGGGAGGAGAGGAAAAAATAATCACGAATCGTTAGCAAAAACCGCCTTACATAAAATGAACAGACAAGCACAACCTAAAACTTACGGCGCGTGAGCAATTATCGGCACGGCAGCCAAAAAAGGTTACCCACCACTGACCTAAAACATCTCCTTTTGGGATCCAGGGGTGTTTTGCAAATCTAAAGCGTAGCTTACATTCCCGTTGCAATGAGAGTCAGTGGGACAAGCAGCCGAAAGGGACTGCTTGAAGCCGGTTGGCCCTGAGCCGCTCTTCACATTCACATTATGTACTCTTGAAAACCACAAACACTTAATGACTTTCAAGATTTTGCCAGGTTGCCATGATAACTGGGGCAACTCCTCCTCCTTACCACAACATTACACCACCGCCATTTCAGCACATACCGTTAACATCCGGCTCCTCGTTTCCCACAACCTCAGCTCAGCCCATCCTGAAGAACCGGGAACCGAAGGCGCATGGCGCCAGGTGGAGACATGCTTGCAAGGGTTATGATTTCAACATACATAAAGAGAGCAATACAAAAAACAATTTGTATTTTAAGAGGTTTACTTCATGAGCAATTTGGAACATGAACAGCCATCATAACCCAACTTCTATCTAATAACCCATTGCCATGAGGTCCACTGACAGAGCTGAGTCCAGCAAGGAGTAGCTATGGCCAGCGGCCCTGAACTCATCCCAGGACATTCTTTTTATAGTTTTCTGCACACATTTCACAACTTAGTTCCTTGTCCTTCCTGACTGACATACCATCTCCACATATACCCCGCGTACACCTCAAACCTCTCTCCATCGGCTGCTTTCCGTTCCTGATTTCTCGCGGCTTTCAAAACCACCTACTTTTGCAAAATCACATTTCGCAGCAGCAGCTTAGCGGGATCACAAATAGTTCTGATACACGTTGAAATCTTTCTGTCTAAAACTTTGGCTCATGTAGCTGTTGGTGGGGGTGGGGGTTGCTACCCTTCTGAGATAGGGACGTGGTGGCTCAGTGGCTGAGATGCTCAGTTTGTCAATCAGAAAGGTGGGCAGTTCAACGGTTCGAATCCCTAGCGCCGCGTCATGGAGTGAGCTCCCCGTTCCTTGTCCCAGCAGCTTCTGCCAACCTAGCAGTTCGGAAGCATGTACAAAAAATGCAAGTATAAAAATAGGGACCCCTTTGGTGGGAAGAAGGGAACAGCGTTCCTCCGTGCGCCTTTGAAGGCGTTGAGTCCTGCTGGCCACACGACCACAGAGACGTCTTCGGACAGCGCTGGCTCTTCTTCGGCTTTGTAACGGAGATGAGCAGCGCCCCCTAGAGCCAGGAACGACTAGCACATGTGCAAGGTGATCCGTTACCTTTACCTTGTCCTTCTGACACCTATAGACTCTGGTAGTCCCAATAGGTTATTTTTCTGTTTCTCACAATGTTAATTCATGTCAAGAGCAACAGCCTCCGAATGTGAATCCCTGCCGTGACCACGGGGGATGCTGCAACGGTTGGTAGGGCGAAAACGGTCGCAGGTTTTCATACTTAACAGCTGTTGCAGCATCCCAAAATTGCAATATGATCAACATTCAAACGCTTGGCAACTGGCATGTACTTACGGCGGTTGCAGTGTTCCCGGGGTCACGACCTTCTGATGAGCAAAATCAACGCAATGACCCCGTTGCTATCACTAGAGTCATTCATTCGCTTGACCAGAGGGGTGAGAAAGGCCACAGAACGGGAGAGAACTCACTTAACGTCTTGTCTTACTTAGCAGCGGAAACGTTGGGCTCAGTTGTGGTAAGCCGAGGACTTGCCTGTAGAACTGGGTGATCATCCTGTATTTTGTCTTCTTTGTTTTTCCCCCAGCTAAGATTTCCCAGCATGACCTAGAAACTCAGCAGTACCCCAAAGAAGATGATGTGGTTTTCCTGATAGTATCTGACAAACGGTTCTACTACGACGAACGAGACAGGGAGAGCCACGTCGTTCGGCATGTTGGCTTCGTGACTCGTTTTTCTCAGCCTTCCAGTCAGAACATTAGTAAGTATTTCGGGGTTATTGCTCCGAGGAATGTTTTTTAATGACCCACGAAAAGTCTATTCTGGAGGCGGTCCAAAGAATTGTAATTCATTTCTTTTTAGCCCAGTTTTATTACGAGTAGCTCAAGTTGGCCAACATCCCTAGTTCTTCCACCCCTAAAAAATGCCTGCTTGGAAGATCAAGCCATGATTGTGTCCTAATGTTGATGAGTTCTGACTAAGCGCTTAGAAAATCAAACCATGATTTGTGTCCCAACGCCAGGGGGTTCTGCCTAAGTGTGATGCCTGAACAAATCATCTTTTGTTGGCCTGTTTCCCCAAAACAGAAAAGGAGCAACAGGTCACCTGCCACCTCTCCATCCAGACTCAAGGAAATCTCTCGCGCGTCGAGAAGAATGTGAAGTGCATGGTGGTCAGCTCTTTGGCGACAACCCACCGGAGGTTCCAGGCCCTCTTGATGCTGAATCGCAGCCCGTTAGCCGTGCCCATCCTGTCTCCAAGTGCCTCCTACTTCTCCCCGAGAGATTTGAACACCGAGTCTGAGAAATCGGTAAGAATGTGGATGGTTGTTCACAGAATAACAGGGTCGGAAGGGACCCTGGGGGTCTTCTAGTCCAGCCCCCTGCTCAAGCAGGAGACCTGGCTTATACCATCCCGGGCAAATGGCTGCCCAGTCTCTTCTTAAAAACCTCCAGTGTTGGAGCATCCACAACTGCTGCAGGCAGGTTGTTCCACTGGTTAATTGTTCTCATTTTCAGGAAATTCCTCCTTAGTTCCAGGTTGCTTCTCTCCTTGATGAGTTTCTACCCGTTGCTTCTTGTCCTGCCCTCAGGGGCTTTGGAGAATAGCTTGACCCCCTCCTCTTCTTTGCAGCAACCCCTCAAATACTGGAAGATGCTATCAATCCTTCTCTTTGTTAGACTAGACCTACTCAGTTCCTGTAACCTTCGTATGTTTCCAGCCTCCAGTCCCCTAATCATCTCTGTTGCTCTTCTCAGCACTCTTTCTAGAATCTCAACCTCTTTTTTTTTTTATAATATCGTGGCAATATCAACCTTTAAGCCCTAGCTTTCTCTTCTCATCATCTCTGTCTGAAACGGGACACTCTTTTTCCAACCTTGACTTCTCCTGCCCTTTGGGGAAAGGAGGGATTCAGACCTGGGTCCGTTGTGGGAGGAGAAGAAGAAGAAGAAGAAGAAGAGATCTAGAGTAGGTCATGGAGATGGATAGTGTCTTCTGGTGACCTGGTGTGATTCTGTTCCTCCTCCTTTCCCCCCCCCCCCCCCCCCCCCCCCCCCCAGCTTCCTTACATGAAGGACTTCAATGAAGGGCAGAAGCGAGCTATTGAAAGTGCTTACGCCATGATAACCCAGCACCCATCTTCACCCAAGGTCTGCTTGATCCATGGGCCACCAGGGACAGGAAAGTCGAAGGTGATCGTTGGGCTTCTCCACCGCATCCTTGATGAGGTAGGCCATGCGGACCCCTTTGAAGGTTCTGATGGTCGTTTTGAGGCGAGCTGAGGGTGGTGTAGCAGCTGACCGGGCCGAGGCCGAGGGAGGGGTCAAGCGCGCCATCAGTCATGAATCCCTGCACGCCCAACAAGAGGCCTAAGTCCAGCCTGCCTTGAATGCCTCCCTTATCTCCCGCTCGTTTCCCATTGGCTGTTAGTTGGTCAGATTCTTGAAGCGACCTCACGCTTGCCATAAATCTTTATACTCATGGGAACTGCCTTAATCTTGGACACTTGGCAACTGGTTCTTATTTATGACGGCTGCAGTGTCCCAGGGTCACATTAATCCCCTTTTGCGACCACCTCGCAAGCAAAGTCCATGAGGAAGCAGATTCGCTTAAGAACGGTCTTCCTAATTTAACAACCGTGGTGACTGTCTTAACGACAGGGGCAAGAAAAATGATAAAACAGGGCAAAGCTCACTTAACCAATTTCTCACTTTGGCCGTATAAATTCCGGGCTCGATTGTGGTCGTACACCGGGGATGGATACAGCCATAGGCTCCTTGGCCACGGTGCTCGAGTGGTTTGCTATTGACTTCCGGCGTGAATGTTTGAAGAGCTGCAGGATTTCTTTACGTTTGCCTTCCGAAACCGAGACCACCTGGTGTCCTTTTGAATCTCCAGAGATCAGGAAAAGAGAATTCCATCCAGAGGCTGAACGCCAAGATCAAGACGCACCGCATTTTGGTTTGTGCGCCTTCCAACGCTGCCATCGATAACCTCATGAAAAAAATTATTTTGGAATTCAAAAAATTCCGGGAGAAAAACGCTTTAGGTATGGCTGCCTCCCTTTCCCCCATTTTAATTCTATTTACTTGTGGTCCTTGTCCCCGGGAGACGGCAGGGAGAAGCTGCACAAGGCTCAAGGCATTTCAAACCACCAGAGGCCTTGTAATACAGGTACACCGTGACTTTTAAGAACAGTTCGTTTCGTGACTGTTCAAAGTTGCAACAGCGCTGAAAAAAGCCACGGCCCCCTTTTCATACTTAAGACCACTGTAGCACCCCCACAGTCAAGTGAACACAAAATGAACACAGCCAGAAGTTCAATCCTGACCATCTCAAGATTGACTCAGCCTTCCATCCTTCTGAAGTCAGTAAACGAGGACCCAGATGGTTGAGGGCAAGAGGCTGACTCTATAAACTGCTTAGAGAGGGCTGGAAAAGCAGGATATAAGTCTAAGCACTGTTGCTATTACTACTGCCCTCCCTCCCTCCCTCCCTTCCCTTCCTTTCTCATCCCTGATTACAGAATCTTTCAATCCTTCCTTCCTTCCTTCCTTCCTTCCTTCCTTCCTTCCCTTCTCATCCCTGATGTCAGCATTTTTCAGTTCTTCTCCTTTCCTTTCTTCCTTCCCTGATGTCAGCATCTTTCAATTCCCTCTCTCCCTCTTTCTTATCCCTTTCCTGCCTTCCTGGTTAGAATACAGTGCTATTGCTATTTGCTTAATTATTTATACATTTCGATATCTCGGCAAACAACATAGGATTTGGTGTCTGCTAACTTGAGGAACGGCACGACTCTGCCTTTTGTCCTCACCCTCTAGGGAATTGTGGTGACATCAACCTGGTCCGTCTAGGACAACAGAAATCGATCAACAGCGAAGTCCGGAAATTCAGCTTGGATGATCAAATCGATCACAAGATCAGTGAGTGTGAAATTGTGTTGCCTTTTTTTCTCCTCAAGCCCCTTCCTTGGGTTGGGAATTGGGAGGGTGCCTATTTTGGCAGCCCTGTTTTGTTTATTTTTTTTTGTTGTTTTATTCCCTCCCAGCTGAGGAAGTATCAGAAAAACAGAGGGAGGTTAGTTAGTATACAATACTCAACCAAGTGGAACCTGCTGTTTAGAAAGACCATTAGAGATCCTGAAAAAGGACCTCGATCCTTAAATCTAAATCAGAACATTCCAGAGGGAACAGAAAGAATAAAGTGAAAAAAAGGGGGGAAAAATCTCTTACCCTTAAGAGGAAATTAGAAGGGGAGAAAGCCGGGAACGGATACATTTAGGAATAAAGTTAGGGATGAATTGGAAACCAGCGTTGCATGTAACCCTGGCTTGGCTCTTGAATGGAGGTAGTCCTTGACTCATGACAATTCATTTAGTGACCTTTCAGTTAGAACTCCACTGAAAAAAATTGACTTCTGACCGTTTTTCACACTTAACACCCGTTGCAGCATCTCTACAGTCGCGTGATCAGAATTCAGGTGCTTGGCAACTGGCATGTACTTTACAACGGTTGCAGCATCCCGGAGTTCACGTGCTTTGGCGACCTCTTGACAAGCCGAGTCAGTGGGGGGAGCCTGGTTCACTTAATGACCAGCTTCACAACTGCAGGGGTTCGCGTGACAACATCGTAAAATGGGGCGACGTTCACTTTAAGCACCGTTTTATTTAGCAACATCCATTTTGGGCTCCATTGTATCGTCGTAGGTTGAGGATCACCTGTATACATTTTACTTCGCTTCAAACCATCTGAGCTTGAACCAGATTCTGGGCCGATTCTGAACCAGATCTTCAATCTGGTGTCCAAAGGCCAACCTCCCTGTTTTGATTCCGTAGATAAGGCCATGCTTGGTAAAGATCAGGATCTGCAGAAGAAGAAGGAAGATTTAGATCGGCGGTTGGACGCTCTGTCTCGTCGGCGGGCCATGGACAGAAGTGAGAAGGGGGAGAAGGTAACCAGCAGATCCCAGGTGGAAAAATTACCTTTGGGGTCATTGTGGCAGTAGAGGGGGGGGGGGGGGGGGGGGAGGCTTCTGACTTCATCAGCAATCTCGTGGGAGAAGACCACTAAACCACCGAAACTGAGCTATGTGGTGGTTCCAGTTAGGTGGGAGAAGGGATTTGGACTGTAAACGGAGGAGTCTGCCAGGCTGGTGAAAACAGCCTTTTGGGGAGAGCTTCGGGACTTTCAGACCTGGTCATTTCTTCATCTTTCCCCTAGAAAGCTAAAATCTGTGGGCTCCTTGGTGCTCTCTGAGTTGGGTGGTTTCCTTGACATTTCATGACCCAACTAGGTAACGTCATCAGTGCTTAGAAGGCAGGGTATTTGTTGAGAGGAGGAGAACTGAGGGGTCCTTGGTGCTCTCTGAGCTGGGTGGTTTTCTTGCAGATGCTCCTCGATGATGATGATGATGTTACCTAGTTGAGTCATGAAACTGTGGTTTGATCTGAATAATACGGAGTTGTGCAGGATTTGGGCTGGCTAGAGGAAGCTGACGTCTCATAAGGGAAATGCCTGATGTGTGAAAGGTTTGCTTTTTTCTCTCTCCAGAAACAACAATTGGAGGATGAAATTTGCCAGCTCTCGAAGGAGAGGGAGCGCTTGGGTTCTCAACTCAAAGAGGTGACACTCCCCTAGGATCCATAACAGTTCATCATCCCAATAGAAAAATTCCAAAATTCTTTGTTGCCCGTGGGAGAATTAGGAAGTGGGCTGGATTTTTACTGATTTTGGCCTTGGTTGTGCCTCCACCACTGGACCGGATCTACCTTTCTGGCAATGGTGAGGAGAGGAATCTAGGCCGAACTGAATCGCGTGGAACCTAAAATCACGTGCCTGATTTTATGGTTTAGCATATAATATAAGCTCAGGAAATGGAGTTGACCTGCAGCCACTTTGACCTAATGGTTAAGGCACCAGGCTAGAACCATGGAGTTGGGGAGTTCTAGTTCTGCCCTCCGCACGAAAGGCAGTTGGGTGACTTGAGGCCGATCACCCAGAGACTGTGAGCCAGCTGGGTGACTCTGGGCCAGTCCCTCTCTCTCAGCCCGTCCCACCTCACAGGGTGGTTCTTACGGGGAAGGTAGGACAAGGAAGTTGTGTCGGATGCACTCAACGCCTTGAGTTATTTGAAAAAGAATAAAGCCAGGATAGAAATAAATGATAATTGAATCGGGTTGTGTCAATACAATCCAAGTGGCCTCCGAAGCGAGAAAGCTCTGACGGATTTTGCTCTTTTGGGGTGGCGGGAGTAGACCCATTCGAGTTTTAAGTTCCTTCCATGAAGTTGAAAATGGACAGGATCTAATCCCGGACCGACCCCCAGGATCCTTTTCCATTTTAGGCTCGCAGGCGATCTCAGGAATTGAAATCAAGCATCATTTTGGAATCCCATATCATCTGCTGCACCCTGAGCACGAGCGGAGGGGTGCTGCTGAAATCGGCTTTCCAGAGGCTGGGCGGGGACCCCGTCAGCTGCGTGATTGTGGACGAGGTAAGGCGCCGGCGATGGGGCCCCTCTCCCTGGGAAAAGTTAGCAACCTCCCATGGACAGGCCGTCCTCGTCTTACAGCCAAACCATTTCCACTGCCGAAGCAAGACGGCGGTCAAAAGAGGTTTGCTCCACGTTGCCACTTTCCTCGCCAGGTTTTGCGAGGAGAAGGAAACTGGGCTTTGAATTTGCCAAAATTGCCTAGGCCTCAGGAGGACAGCAGGCCTGAAGTAAAATGCCATGTATTTAAAGCTAGGAGTGAATTTTCAAAGGATAACGAAATATTTGTCGTCTTCTGGGCTAAGCTCAGCTTTGCAATAGGAATCTGCAAAGATTTGAGAAGTTGTTTTTGACTAGGGACATTAAAGAACGCCCCCTTTGTTTCCGCTTGTGGTGGTTCCTCATTTCCTCCTCGCAGTTTCTAACCTATTTTTCCCCACCCTGGTATTTTATTTTATTTTTTATTTTTGGTTAAAAGGCGGGGCAGGCGTGCGAGGTCGAAACGCTCATCCCTCTGATTCATGGCTGTAAGAAACTTGTCCTGGTTGGAGACCCCAAACAGCTGCCTCCCACCATCAAGTCCCTGGTACGTAGCTGCCCCTCGAAGACGCCTCCAGGTGTGCAAGAAAGCCAGATGTTTGCCTCCAGAAGTTGCCAACGCTCCAACCCTGGAAGTTTTTTAAGAAGGGGTTGGACAACCCTTGGTCTGAAAGGCTACAGGGTTTCCCGCCTAAGCGGGGTTAGGCTAGAAGACCTCCAAGGTCCCGTCCAACTCTCTTATTCTCTTCCTGGCCAGCAGCTGTTTTCCTGCAGGCTGCTCCGTCCAGCCCACCTCCCAGATGTGTCGGGCCTCTGGATCCCGCTTCTTATTTCCTAAAGTGGCCAGTTCTGCTTTTTGTCTCCATGACACGAGTGGGAATATATATATTAAAAAACGGTGTATATATTACAAGTTTTTTAATCAGCTAACTGTCTACAGACCGCCTTTGTGGCTGCCTTCTAGCTAATTGCGGGATTAAATTCACCGCTTGAGTTCTTTTGAGTTCTCCGCCTCCTCCGTTAACTGCCACGGGGTGTGTGTGTGTGTGTGTGTGTGTGTGTGTGTGTGTGTATACTGCTTCCTTGCCTCCTTTCTAATCAAATCAAGGATACGCTAAACACGCAGGGGAATTGACAGTCTGGAATTCAGGGATACTTGACTTATGAGATCATTTACAGGAGCTTTTTATAATTTCCCTGGTAGCGGAGCAAACAGGACAAAAAAGCTTTCCAAAATGCCTCAGCCATTTGGGGGGAAGTTTTTTAAGGTGGAAGAAATTAAGGTTGACTTACTCACGGCCTCCCAGCCACTGTGCCTGTGGCATCTGGAGCTCAAGGGCCTTTGAAAGCCTGTCCTGAACCCAGCACTCTCTTTTGGGGGGGAGGAAAAAGTGACAGAAACTTAGATGAAGAATGTTTGCTCTGGGCCGACCTTGGTGCCTCATTCGATTGAGTGGCTTGCCTCTAATTTTCCCCACCTGTAAAATGGGCGCAATATAACCTGGCCTCCCACGTTGCTGGTGAAAGATGGTGGGGATGAATTCCACAGTACAGGCAAGTCCTCAATTTACAACAGTTCATTTAGTGAAAGTTACAACGAGCGACTTACAACCGTTTCCCACAGTCATGTGATCAAAAGGCAGGCAGTTGGCAACTGGTTCATAATTAGGGTGGTTGCAGCATCCCAAGGTCACATAATCCTCTTTTGCGACCAGATTCACTTAACAACTCTGTCAAGAAAGGTGGTAAAATCCACCTAAATGGCTCTTGGGCTCGGTTGAGGATTGCCAGAATATATTTTTGAGCTGGGGCAGCCCTTCTGAATGTCTTGTCTTCTCCTTTTGTCAGAGAGCTCAGGACTACAGATACGACCAGTCTCTGCTAGGGCGTCTCTGCAAGCATCTCAAGGAACAAGATCAAGAAAATATCTCCGGAAAATTTCCAGTCCTTCAGCTCACCATTCAGTATCGGATGCACCCAGAAATCTGCCATTTTCCATCCAAATATATTTATGAACGGCTCTTGACCACTGACAGGTAGGCAGTTTTAAGAATCTTCCTTAAAAGCGTTAAAAAGTGGGCCTTTGATGCCCCTTTTATTCCAGATCTTTGCTTCCTCCGCCAACAGTGGCGTTTTGTGCCTAAGGGGTGTTTGGACAGCCCCAAGGTGCCTTCCTTTTTGTGACTTCTCCCACGACAGGAAAATAGCGGAGGATCGTTTCTCCTTGGCGTGGCCTTTCCAACCTTACATGCTTTTCGATGTCTTAGACAGCCGCGAGGAACGAGAAAACGAGTAAGTTGGCTGGTCTGTATTGATTAAGTGGCTTTGAGGCTGCCTCTCACTAGCTGCGACGACTAACCCAAGTTAGCAATCACGGATGCAACCGCAATGAAGCAGAACCTAGAATAGAATAGAGCTGGAAGGGACCCTGGAGGTCTTCTAGTCCAGCCCCCTGCTCAAATAGGCCGATAGTCATCTTTGTCCAGGCATAGGTAGTCCTAGACTTACCACCATTCGTGCAGTGGCTGTCCTCAGAGATCATGTGATCTAAATCGGGACTCTCGGCAACTGGCATGTACTTAATGACAGTTGCCAAATCCAAAGCCTCACCCTTAAAATAAGACATACTACAGGACATGAAGTTTAGAATAAAGGCCTTCCTGGACTTGGCACCATTCGTTTAGCGACCATACGAAGTTACAACGGCACGGGGGGGAAAGGGGACTTGCAGCCTTTTTTCACATTTACCACCATTGCAGCATCTCCACGATCCAGTTTATCCCTCCCTCCCTCCCTCTTCTCCCCTAAATCTCCTTTCCCGCTCTTTGTTCAGCTCCTATTATAACCCCCAAGAAGTGACGCTGCTGGCAGAGCTCATGAGGGTCATTAAAGGGTGGAAGAAGGATATCAGCTCGCGCCAAATTGGGATCATCACCCCTTACAACGCGCAGAAGAGGAGGATTCAGAAGCAGCTGGACAGAGAATTTGGGGAAAACAGGTGAGGACCGGACAGGTGAACGGTGGCCACTGCCCCATCCCCTCCGTCAGCTGTCCCTGTCACCGTGTGGAGCACAGGTGGTCCTCGACTTACAGCACTTCATTTAGTGACAGTTGAGAGGGCCGGCTTCCAATCCAGCGAAGTCAGTGGAGGAGCCCCGGATTTGCTTAATGATCGCGCCATTCATTTCACAAGGGCAGTGGTTCGCTTAATGACCTTGGTTGAAAAAAAAAAAACCCCAAGTGGTCATAAAATCGGGCGCTTGAACAACCTCCTTGCTTCAAGGCGACGAATTCTGGCCCCAGTTACGTTCGTAAATCAAGGACTACCTGTGATTTTTTTTCCCCCTGCCGGTTGACCCTCTGCTTCTTCGTCTCTCCCCACCCCAGGTGATTGTAAAATCTCTTAAATTAAGATTATTCCTCATCCTTCCTGCATTTCCCCTCCCAGCCCTTGTTTTCCAGGAGGCTGTTTGGGTTTTGTTTTTTGATTTATTTTTTTTATGAAGGTGGGGTGTGGATTAAAAATACCATCTTGACTCATCTTCCTTCCTGTCCCCGTTTTTCCCCCCCACCTCCCAGCGTCGGGGAAGTTGACACCATAGACGGATTCCAAGGCCGCGAGAAAGACTGCATTATTGTCACCTGCGTGCGGGCAAACAGCCCGCAAGGATCGATTGGGTAGGTCTCTGTCCGTCCCCCCCGTTTCCCCCCCCATGTTAGGCCTGACTCCTGGCCAGCTGGGGGACTTCAGCCCCAATTCTGGAATAGACTGAAGCCAAACTCTCTCACCCTTGTATGTCCAGAGTGGTGTTTCTCACGCTGGAGCACTTTTAAAACACGTGGATTTCACCTCCCAGAATTCCCCAGCCAGCATCCTTTAAGGTGTCCCTTTGACATCCACACCTCAAAAGTTTCCACGGTTGGGAAACACCGGTTTACGCTTTGCAAGGCCAGGCAGATCCCAAAGTTTCATTCGGTCCCTTCGAACCCCAGACAGAGTCTTCCTCTAAACAGCTTCGGTAGTCCAGCGTTCAGTTCGGCTGCTTTTAGTTTAGTTTTTTCAATTTTGTCATCCGCTTGAATGGTGCCTGACACCCCTCAAAGCTCTGTGCAACTCACCCGGCTCAAAACAATTCCAATAAAACAAAATTAAGGGAGGAAAAGGATTCAAAACTGGAAGAGAGGAAGGGCAGACTGGGTGGGAACACAAGCATTTTTAAGAAGAGACTGGACAACCCTTGGTCTGAAATGCTACAGGGTTTCCTGCCTGAACGGGGTTGGACTAGAAGACCTCCAAGGTCCCTTCCAACTCTATTCTACTCTACTCTACTCTACTCTACTCCTGTTCTGTTCTGTTCTGTTTTATTCTAAAGCAAATTGCCTCGTTTCCACCTCCCCAAAGTCCTGAGTAGACAGCTCTTGCAGCAGAGTGGAGACCCTCCTGAACAAACCAGGGTTTTCTGCTTGGGCTCCTCAAGGTCAAGAGATCTGCCCTCCCCTCTGTGCTTCCAGGGAGCGCTCCGTCCCCACGTTTCTAGGCTCCAAAGCGCCCTCTCTGCCTTCTCCCGTAGCGATCCAAAGCAGCCGGCTTGGCGGTCACCAGGGGGCAGCTAAGAGCGGTGGATGAAACGGGTAGCTGGGCAGCCTCTCCGTAGAAAGCCTTGTTTCTCAAATCGAAGGGCCTTCTGGATGGGCAGACGTCAACTCCCAGAATTCCCTAGCTAGGAGTAGAATTCCCAGTCTCCGGTGACAGGCGCAGAGTCACCCAGCCGGCTTTCATGCTTAAGGCAGGACTAGAACTCGCATCTCCTGGTAATAGGCCCCAAGTCACCCAGCCAGCTTTCATGGCTAAGGGGGGGGGGGGGACTAGAATTTATTGTCTCCTGGTGTCAGGGTCCTTCTCTAATCTGAAAGTTCATACAAGCCTCTGGTTCGTCTCCCCGCTGAGCTTCGGATCCATCATCCCCGCCTTCTTAGAATCCAGGGCTTTAAAAAAAGAATCAACCTCCATCCCGAGGACCTCGTTCCCTCAGGCCAGACCTAACCCCCGTGTTTCGAATACAAGTCCTTGCCTTTTAGCTTTTGGTTTAACAGCTTTACTCCAAGGAGGAGGAGGCTGAGGGGTGGGGAAGTCATACTCGCCTTCCTGGCGTGTTCCCGTTTCGCCAGTCACCTTTGGAACGAATGAAATATTCAGGCCCCGCGTGAAATATTAATCAGAGTGTTTGCGCTTGAATCAGAACAGCGTCAAGCTTCTAGGTGGGTCGTGCGGGGAAGGTGTTTCAGGCGCCTTCCTGCGCTCCGTTTCTCCTCCTCCCCCCCTTCTCCCTGCGCTGCCGTCTCCGATCAGGGCGACCCGGGTTCGAAATTATTAAGTATTATTATTGCCTTGTGGTGCCCTTTTCTCCGCCCCTCTCCAGGTTCCTGAAAAGCCTACAGCGCCTGAACGTAACTATCACCCGAGCCAAATACAGCCTTTTCATTCTCGGGAAGCTGGAAACGCTCGTGGTAAGGGGGGAAAAGGGGGGGGGGGGGCAATTTCTTTTGTTCCTGTTTGGGAATAAATGAGAACCGGATAACGGTGTCTGGCTTTGGAGGTGGCTGATGGGGTTAGATACTGGTAGTCCTTGACTTACGACCACCAAAAAATTTCCCACTGCTCAGCGAGTCATTCGTGAAATGAGTCTCTCTCCCCCCCCCATTTTACCGCCTTTGTTGCCACTTTCTCATTAAGTGAATTGCTCCCGTTGTTAAATGAGTTGGCCACGCCCAGCCAGGTTTCGAGGCTCCCGGCGTTTCCTTTTCTGTGGGAAACGGGTCCAAGTGGCTCTTGGGGTGTTGTAAGGCTGCAGACCCCTTTGCTCGACCATTGGGCGGTAAAGGGGTCTTGCCTCCTTCCAAAGGGCTGGGTGCCCCGCTAAGGTCAGGGGGCCGCCCCTCCCTGTTTCGGAGAAGAGCCCGAGGATCTGGATTTAGGGACTCAGCTGGGCTTGGAGACCCCGCGACCAGGCGGGGAAGGGTTTCGCGTGACCTTTGCCCCCCTTGGTTCTTCGCAGGAGAACGGAGACTGGAACGAGATGATCCAGGACGCCAAACGCAGAGGGAACATTGTCCACACCGCCGAGAAGACTTACAAAACCTACGCCACGGAAATCGTCAAACCCAGGCTGCTTTCCCGCACCGGAGTGGCGGCCACCCTACAAAGAGATGCCCACGAAGTCCCGGCGGCCCTCGGCAGAGCCAAACCCCAGGCGCTCCTCCCCAGCCCAGTCTCCCCCCAGCGCCCTCCCGTCCCCCTTCCTACTCTGGCCGGCCAAAGGACTCCTCAAGAGACACTCAACCATCGGCCGCCCCCCGTGGCACAGGTCAAACCCATCCAGGACAGACTGCAGGACCCCCGGCTATCCAGGCGCGACGAGGCGGCATTAAAAGCCCACAACCGCCAGGAGGGTCGAGCTCCTGCCTTGCGAGCTTCCTCCGCGCCGAAATCGGCACCTTGGGCCCTTCAGAGCCATAGCCATTCCGTGGACACCCTGGGGGAAACTCCGAGCCGCGCTACACCCGTGCCTGTCCCCCCTCTGCCCAGCAGTGCCCCCCCCTCCAGCAAGACCTCTGACCAGAGGCGCCACCTCCTGACCGAGCGAAGAGAGACCTGGAAAAACCACCCCGCTTATCCCCGGCAGATCCCGGAGGCCTCCCGGGAGAAGGACGGCCCCGTTGAGGCCAAGAAGAGGCGCACCACTTTCTGACCTCCCAAGGCCGCCCCGTTCTTGGCCAGGCGTCTTGCGTTCGAGTCTTCCCACCACCTCTTGCCTGGAAGACTTAGAGGGAGAGAGAGAGAGAGTGCGTTTCTTTGCACGCCTGGGTCTATATGCATCAATACAACCCCGACACACGAGGAGGCCGCTGCTCCCGGAAACAGCCGTCTCTTCAAAGGACTCCAAACTCTGTGAAGGCCTCGCGGGGCCCCGTGTAGATTTGTACAGCAAAGGAAAGATTTATTTTTTAGAGGCAAGGAAACCTGAGTGCCCATTAAACTCTTCCGTGCCTACAGCGTCCTATTTAGCGGTGCAGGCGCCCATCAGTCCAGGACTTCGCCGGTCACCCTCCTGATACGCGGGGGAGCTGCCCCCTCCTCCCCACCCCGCCTTCAACAAGCCCCTCCTAGAACCCGGGCCTGAAACCCGGCTTTTATTTCATGGCTGATTCTTCGGGGTACAAAACGGGATTTTTTTGGGGGGGGGAGGATTTTGCCTGCTCAATACCGGGGGGCCTTACCTGGCCGGGGGGAGGAATTGCGGTAGCGACATCATCCATTTGCGCAACTAGCAAAACAACTTCCTGTCTCCATGAGTGGTGGAGAGATTGTGCAGTAACTTCCCTCGCCCGTTTTCTGATCAAAGTGCCTCTGATTTTTTTTGTTTCGTGATTCATTTGGATTTTTTTTGCAAAGATACGGAAAGATTTGGGTTACTATATTAAAGTCTTGCAATTTGGCAGTTTGCAATTTTGACTCCCCCCCTCCCCCGGTGTCTTTTCCTCTCAAATATTTGGGGGGGGGGAGGATCCCACGCACAAGGGGTGGGGGGGCAAAAACTGCTTAATTCTCACTGCTACTCAACTCTGGGCGTTTTCACTTAGGTTTGATAAAAAGTTGTGTTTATACATATACATACATTATATATATATAAATATATATATATATAATAGATATATCCTTTACGTACATCCCTATACCCTTCTGTTACGAATCCTAAATGTAAATACATTAAAATGGACCTTTTTAAAAAGATCTCTCCCCCTTCTTCCGCTAAATAAATAATTCAGGTTGTATTTTCAAACGTACCCTTGGCTTCCTCTGATTCGTGCTATGGAAGGGTGAGTTAGGGACCTGTGAATTAGAGTGAGAGCGAATTACGTGAGGATTCCCCACCCCCACCCCTGGGTTTTTTGGATCAGGGCCTTGTTTCATAGAAGGGGGGAATTAGCTTCTGTGTGCCAGTTTTTCCCCAAGCAAAAAAGCTACACCCAGATCCCCCGTCCTTTGCACTGCAAATGGAGAAGCTCCTATAGATCTGGAGTCCCAGAAGTGCTTCCTCCACCCCCTACTCAAAAAAAAAGGCCATTGTTTTTTCCTTGAAGACGTTTCGCTTCTCATCCAAGAAGCTTCTTCAGTTCTGACTGAAGTGGAAGATAGAAGGGTTTATATTCCTTGCAGAGTAACCCCCCCCCCCCCGTTGCTTCAGTCCTACCCATCTGGATCGTCCTTTGTGCGTCCAAGAGTTTGTTTTTTTCCTATCCAAAGACAGCCAGTCTGAAGGAGTTCTCCTCTCTCGGCTAAAAAGAGGGTTGGTTCCCGGTTTAAAAACTGAGAGCACCCAACCATCATGATAAGGAAAGCAAGTCTGTTTAAAGGAAAGCCCCGTGCAAACTCTCAACAAACCCCTAATGCCATTTTTGGCACCAGGAAGCGCAAAGTGGGTATTACTTGTTCTTTTCACAGTCGTTTTGGGAGCGTGCCCACCAACGGATGAGTTCAATCTGCAAAGCTGGGAAGAAAAACTAATTCGAGACCTAACAGCAATTAATAAGTTGCTTTTATGTAATGGATTATAACACCATAATATTTCAGGTAAAGTGGTTTTTCTTTTCCTAAAGGCTGTAGTAGTACACCTGATCGGTTTTGTTTTTATCTCCCCTTCCCCGCTCTTCTTTAGAACATCGATAATTCCAACGTATATAATTCTCTACCAAAAAAGAAAGAAAAAAAAGAAAAGAATTGAACCGTAATCTATCCGGCAAAGCCTGAAGGAACGTGGTGTATTTTTGGCGTGAGAAAAAGTGTTGAAAGCCAAAGACTCTTAACCAAAGAGTAAAAACTGAAAAACAAGTCCAAAGATGATAAAAAAGAGAGAGAGAGAGAGAGAAATGAAAACTGAATAAATTCAGCAACTTGGCTTTTTTTTAGGCCATGTTATCCTTCGGGGCCTGAGCAAAGGAGGAAAAAGGCCCCGGAATGTTCCTTCTTTTAGCCGAGCCTAAACATCTTCCTTAAAAAAAAAAGGGAAAGAGCAGTGCAGCATAAATGCAAGATAATCGATGGCATTTTGCCCCAACCCCCCCCACCCCTTTTTGGAAGCTACCCCTGTGCAAAGGAGAGCTCTGAACAATTTTCCCCTTGAGAAAATAGTTGGAAAATTGCAAACGCTTTGCAATTTCCCCCCAAGTCCTGTTGAGGCGTCTTTTCCTGACTCGCTGGGCCCCACAACAGGTATCCCTTGTGTTCTTTCAACTATGTCCAACCGAAAATCTGCGAAGAGCCGGAACTTCTGTTGAATCCTTCAACGCTTGGCCAACAAGGACCAAGAGACAACCAGTTCGGCTGGATGATGGCTCTTCTGAGCTCCCAACGTTTTCAGGTTGTCCTTAATTCTTTCTTCACTTCCTCTCGTGGGATTTGGACGACGCAACTTCCCTCCTCGTCCTTCAGAGGTCCAAGAGTTGCTGTATGTGTAGGCTCACCGCGCTGGCCACGAAGGCCGAAAGGCTGAGATACGTCCCGGAGACCGAGTCGCACTCTGTGTCTTCCCCTTCGCACTTCGTTTGTTCACACAGGAGGCCCTTGGTTCCCGGCGGGCAGAGACACCGCTGGTTCTCGTAACAAGTGCCTCCGTTTTGGCAGATGAGGAGCTCGTCGTCGCAGACATTCGCTGTGGAGAGAGGAGAGCATCAGTGCACCAACGCCGTGCCTGTTGTTCCCTGTCATTGTATTTTTATTCTCTTCTTCTTCTTCTTCTTCTTCTCCTTTTTGTTTGACAAATTCCAATAAATAAATAAATCCCCCAGCCAGCTTACTTTTAAGATGCGTGGCCGGGAAGTCCCAGAATTCCTTAATCAGCGTGTTTGAAAGTGTGCGGATTTCAACTCCCAGAATTCCCCAGCCAGCTTGCTTTAGGATATACGGACTTCAACTCCCAGAATCCCACTCATCTCAAAGCCTGCTGGCTGGGGATTCCTGGGAGTTGAAGTCCACACGTCTTAAAAGTCGCCAAACTCGGAAAAACTCTGCCATAGGGTTCAATCTCCATCCGGAAAGAGAAAGATACTTACGTAAGCAGCCTTGCCTCCAGTAATAGCCGGGCAAACAATCGTCACATTTCGGCCCCGTCACGCCGCCATCTTTGCATTCGCAATAGCCCGTCTCGTTACAACGGTTGGCCAGCGAGCCAACTCGGTTGCAGTTGCAGTCTGGAAGAAACAAGGAGACCAGGAAAGTCAGGGCTGCGGTGGGAAAAACCAGGGAGTCACCCCTAATTCTTACAGGGATGAGACTGGGAGCAACTCTGGAAATCCTATCTCTAGGGGCCTCTTCCTAGGTCCTGGGTAACGTGGAGCCACCACCCTACATCTCCCTTAAGGTGTTTGGGGGGGAGTAAGGTCCCCCCAATTTCAAGTGAGGAGCAACAGTGATCCTGGATAGATTTGCTGGTCCTTGACTTATGCGCACAAAATTTCTGTTGCTGAGCGAGACCGTTGTTAAGTGAGTTTCCCCCCTTTTGGGACCTCCTTTGCCACAGTTGTGAAGTGACCTTGGGAGACAGGAGGAAGAGATGAAGACTAGACCTGTTATCCTGTTCTTCTCCAAAACAACTGAAGGCGGGAAAAGGAGCAACAGATGGAAACTCACCAGTGAGAGAAGCAACTTGGAACTAAGGAGAAACTTCCTGACAGTCAGAACAATTAACCAGTGGAACCACTTGCCTCAAGAAGTTGTGGTTGCTCCATCAGTGAAGGTTTTTTTTTTTAAAAAAAAAAAGACTGTACAGCCACCTGTCTGAATAGGATCTACTGCTTGAACCAGAGGGTTGGACTAGAAGACCTCCAAGGTCCCTTCCGTCTCTCTTCATGCAACCAGAAGTCAACCATGGCTCTGGAACATTGCCAAACAGATCGGAAGCTACCCTGGGTGTCCCAAAGGGGCTTCCCTTCCCTCCGAGAGGCAGCTGGGCTTTCTGGCTTTTTGTCTTTTTTCTTTGAAGACATTTCGCTTCTCGTCCGAGGAAGCTTCTCCAGCTCTGGGGCCTCCCGCGGCTACTCACCTACGCACACGTTCTCGTCGTCCAGCTCCGCGGAGCTATTTCGGAAGTAGCCAAGCCGACAGTACTGGCAGTGCTGTCCCCGAGTGTTATGCTTGCAACTAATGCAGGTGACCAAGTTCAGGAAGTCGATGAAGCTGCACCGATTGGAGTGTCCGTAGCATTCGCAGTCTGCGGGGGGAGAGAGAAAGGACATTGTCTGATCCGTCCGGCGGTATGAAAGCTAGTTGAGACATCAAACCAAGTTTCCGGAGCTTCGACAACCGAGCGCTGTAGAGACCGCCAGCTTTGCCATCCCGTTGGGTGGCTTCCTTTCCCCCAGAGCTTCACTGAGAACCGTAAGGGAAGAAGAAGAAGTGAGGCAAAGAGGAGAAGACACACACACACCGGGGAGGCACCTGAGGGAGCACGCAACCAGGAGGACATGCGTGTGTGTGTGTGTGTGTTTTCTCCCCATGGTTTGCAGCAAAAGACGGATCCTATCAGCCTTGATTTGAGGAAGACGGTTGAAAGGAGCAGCCTTCCCCATCCCTACCCAACGCTTCCCCCGCCCCGGGGGTCTTCTTAAGATGGGGGAAATGAGAGGGGCATCTCAGGCTGCAGCCTGGGACGGTGTTTCTGGTAGAAGACTGGTTGTCCTCGTCCACAAAGAGACCCAATAGGGCCAAGTTGGCTTGAGTAGGTGGCCCATCTCACCCACAAGGATATTCCACCCCTGTGCAAAGACTCGGGTGTCAGCAGGCGAAGTGTCCTTCCTCCTCACGCTATTCATTTAAAACAGTTTGAGAGATGTCCCCTTGATGGTCTACACCAATACTGCTAAGCTGGTTGTAATTTGAGGACCTACCTGAACATTTGAGGTGGAAAAGATTGATTTTGGAGGAGTGCAAAAAAAAAAAAAAAACCAGGCAATTTATGCAGAGAAAGGTGTGAAAGGAGGCATTTAAAAGAAAAGATAGAAGAGAATAGACAGAGTTGGAAGGGACCTTGGAGGTCTTCTAGCCGAACCCCCTGCTTAGGCAGGAAACTCTGTAGCATTTCAAACAAAGGGTTGTCCAATCTCTTCTTTAAAAAAACTTCCAGTGTTGGAGCATTTACAACTCCTGTTCAGCTTTCTTGTACATTTGGGGACGTCTCGGACAACCATTTGTCTGAGACGGTGTGGGGGTTGGACTAGAAGACCTCCAAGGACCCTCCTAACTCTGCTATTCTGTAACTGCGCTGCTGGCACAGGGCGAGGGCCAGTGACCCCGGCTGTCCTCTTCTCCTGGCAATGCCTGCCTTACATTTGCCACCTGAAGCAGTTTTGATGACCGCAGTAATTCCATTAGAGTCCGGTTCTGGCACACATCGGGCCCTAGAGGTGCCAACTTTGTATTCTATTTTCTATTCCATTCCACTCCACTCCATTTCTTCAGATCAACCTTCTCATCCCCCTGCAGGTTTCTCACCTGAGATGTTCTAAGGTTCTCCCTTACAAGGGCCGAAATCTTACCCATTTCAAAGGAATCCCATCGATTTAGCATTTCATTGAAAGTTAGGGAAGAGAGGAGGCAGCCAACGGTCTTCGAGGAGCCTCTTTTTTTTTTCCCCCCCGCAACGCAGGGACCGTGACTGCCATGATCATAACCACCCACCCACCTGCCTATCCCCGGAGGGGGATTTGGGAAACAGCTCCACGCAGGAGAGAAAGCCGGGTTAAACATTCAAAGCATCGTCTAATTAGGGTTGAGTGTGTCAAACCAGGATGCCAAGGTGCTCAATTACAAGAGTCCTTGGATCACTCCCAGAGTGTGTGTTCGGAGTCAGCTCCTTGTGAAATTGCTTCTAAATAAAGCATATTTGCTTGCAATTTGAACACCTGGCTGAGTTGCAGCCTTATTTTTCCCCTTTTTTAAAAAAATCTTCTCTGTCACTCGTGAGTTGAAAACCTGGGATAGATAGGTTAGATTAGATTAGAACAAGGCTAAATATAGAGGCATCCTGTTTAACCGTCTAATCTAGCCTTCACTACTCCTACCCACCACTAGAGGGCATCATTTTATAGTTCCCTTGCTGCCCTCTAGTGGACATTTGCAATCCCCATGTGGTAGCTCTACCCGAATCCAGGTCGTCTTTGACTTACAACCATTCATTTAGTGGTTGTTTGAAGTTATAGTGGCACTGAAAAAAAGGGACTTACAACTGGTCCTTGTGCTTATGACCATAGCAGCACCCTCACATCTGGCCTGCGATTCATTCTCATTCTCTCTCTCTCTCTCTCTCTCTCTCTCTCTCTCTCTCACACACACACACACACACACACACACACACACACGGTCAGTGCTTGCTAAGACATCTCTAATTGAGATGTTCTCAAGAGGTTCACCTCAAGAACAGACAGGTTTAAAAACAAAAGTTGTAGAAAGCAAGGAAGTGCCACCATTAATAGAAGTGGCATGGATGAACACGTCAGCCCTGAGGGGAGGAGGAAGGCCTATTCAATTGAGTTAACCTCAACCTATTTTTAGTTTAGCCGTCTTTAAAACCAGACAAGCAGAAAAGCTGCCCCATCCTGGTTTATGGCTCAGCGCAAATCCGTACGATGAGGATTCAGTCATTCATTTCTAGTTGAAACTAGCCTGTTTTGGGGTCTACATTGTGAGAACGAATGGGTTAATCACAAAACATAGCGCACAAAGCAAGGATGGATAATAGCAGGTGGAAAGGAGAAAGGAGCTATTTTGCTACAAGATACAGTTCCTACAGGAAGCTAAAGTTGGCCGTAGCATAGTGTTTCTTACCTTCTGAGTTCACATCAGTCTTGGCTGGGGTGAAGTTATCTTCCAAGGTTACCACAGAAGAATCGGTCCTTTCTTGCAAAGACAACACAAAAATCCAATTATGGCAAAGTGATTGTGCCCCAAACCATGTTCCTGGCATTAACTCAGGACTTACATAGCCTATTTTTTTAAGCTAATGAAATCTTGACTTGATTCCGATGCAGCGGCCTCTTTCCACCTGGAAGGATAAACCTCCATTCTTCTCCAACTTCTTATTCATGCAAGAAAGTGTCCGGCGTAACTGCTTTCCATTAAAAAGAAAATAGAAACAGAATTGCGTGGGTGTGCGTCTTTTAAGTGTGGTTCCCAACAAACATCCAGGAAAGATGCTATCCTTTTAAGAGAAGCTGTTATATAAATAAGCAACTGTAACTTCCTAGTGAAGGAGACCTGTCATTTTAGAAAGAAAGATGGCTAGGAATATAATCAAGAAATCTTGAGCTCGGAAACTGTTCAGTTGCTGGAATTCTTAGCTTCCCATCTCTTTCTTCTCAATAGATCTTCCCAAAGAGATTCAGGGAGAATTGGGTGTAGAAAGGAACTGCTTTTAGTTTCAGCAAATCCTAAGAAATCCATCATTTCCAGGGATAGGAGCAGATGTAGGATTTAGCAGATGTAGGGGTTGGTTTTTTTTGACCTGGTTGGTCTCCAGGTGTCACCTGAGATATCCTTGAGAACAACTTAGCTCTGGATTGCCCATCCCCAGCAGAGATTTCCATGAAATGTCCAAGAGGCCTTCTTGAATTTGACCATCCTGATCTGTCAGAAATGTCTACTTTCCAACAACTCTTCTTTTTCCATCAAGCACTGCCAATACAGTTGTTATTCCTCCTCCTCCTCCTCCTCCTCTTCCTCTTCCTCCTCCTCCTCTTTTTGCTCCTCTTTTTCCTTTAAAACCGTATTTAAAGAACTTGGATAAATGGAAATGGCGACACATGGATATTAATGGGGCTTTCAACTAGAATAGGAAGAAGGCCCAGTGCAAATTGGCAAGGGCTTAATTAGAGTCACCATAAAAGAAGCTGCCCTGAAGGCGTTTTGCCTTTTTTTGCATAGATACACCTTCCCCAGTTCAGCTTGTACAGAGTCAAAAGCCTTATTAATTCACCTAGTCCTGAGCTGCCAAGCCAGGAATCTCATAGACATTTATGGATGCTTTTTCCATCACCTCCAGAAGAGTGGGAAGGAAAGGAATCCGCTACAATTCAGCCGCCATAAAGGTTGGGAAATTTTTTTTAAAAAAAAAGTAGAAATCAAAGTCTCTGATGATTTGGAATGGAAGACACCACATTTTTTTTTAATCCAAATAGGGAATAGGAGTAGCACATTCGAGTGGTCCTGCTCCTTCCCTGTTGAAAGGTATCAACCCATATCATATAAGCCCGCCGTGTGCTGCAGCTGCCCCAAAAGCCAATGCGATCCTAGGCCGCATCAACAGAGGGGTAGCGTCAAGATCCTGACAAGTGATAGCACCACTTTATACTGCCCTGGTGAGGCCACAGCCATGACCTGGATGACTGAGAGTCTCCGTAGGCATTTATCAAAGAGGGATCCAACCTAGAATTAAGGAGAAATTTCCTGAAAATGAGAACAATTAACCAGTGGAACAGCCTGCCTCCAGAAGTTATGGATGCTCCAATGCTGGAGGTTTTCAAGAAAATGTTGAGCAACCATTTGTTTGGGATGGTATAAGATCTCCTACCTTTGCCAAGAAGGCCTACAGAAGACCTCCAAGGCCGAAATTATAATTTGAGTGAGCATCAAAATAGAGCAAGCCATTCCATGACATTCCATAGGACCAAAAGTTGTTTTGAGGACCATCAGAAGACAACAGATGCTTTGGGGAGGTTGGAGAAACCACAAACCGATGGTTCATCAAACCAATCATCCCAGAGTTTTGACTTGAAGCCTAGATAACCAGACTCAAATTATCCAATTAAAGACACATTAAGTGAAGACCCTGCCCTCTGGAGAAGGCAGCGATGCTAGGAACGATGGAAGGAAAGAGAGAAAGAGAACCACCAGCAGTAGAGAAGTTGTGACGGCTACGCAGGAGGAAGAGGTGAAGTAACAGTTAAGGAACAGGTGGTCCTGATGAAAATCTACCTTTGTGGTTACTGCGACTTAATATCAACTTGATGGCACATAATCTATCAAAACTAATTTGCATGCAATATTGGAGCCAATGCCTGCGACTTAATGCGTCTTGCAAGATGCAACTCCGTTAGCTGGTAGATAAATCAATTCCACTTCAGATGATTAATGGGCAGGGACCATTTTTTTAACCACCAAAGCTGAGGTGTGATTGGTTGAAAAATAGAGCTAAGGATTAATTTTATCGATTGAGCTGTAATTTGAGTGTTGGGTTTTTATATTTCACCTTCTTTCCGAGGCTTTGGAAAACAGCTGGTAGCCTGATCTAGTTTGTGTTATTTCAGAAAGAGGCATCTCTGGGGGAAAGACATTTTATAAATACCACATTCAACCAACTTATGCTTCTTTCTTCTTCTTTCTTTCTTTTCTTTTCTCCTTTTTTTGAATAATCGGAATGCTGCATCCTGGTTGAGAGAGATTTGACCATCACAAGTCCTTGCTCAATGGACGGTTCACCCCCCAGTCACTTAGAAGAAGTACAGAAGGAAAGACTAATCCCATCTATTTTGGATCACACCTTTGGAAATTATGAGCAGGTGATGGAGATGCTCTCAAAATGGCTTCCATTTTTGACCTTGGCCAAGGACAAGGGTTCCAGTTGTCAAAAGACCAACTGATCAAGATCCACTCGTTATCTCGGCTCACAAATTGAACTTCTTTTTCTTGAAAAGGTGTCTCCATTTCTACTGTCTTGGGTAGGTATTGATGTTACCAAACATCAGGAAGCAACCAAGCTCAGAGCTATTTTATATAAACAGGGAGCAAGTCATACTCATAGCCCTGATGATGTTGCCTAGTTGGGTCATGAAATGTCTGCAAGAAAACAACCAAGCTCAGAGACCACCAAAGATCCCATAGTCCTCTTCCTCCTCATCTATCTGTCTGTCTGTCTATCCATCCATCCATATCTGTCTGTCTGTCTGTCTCTCTCTCTCTCTCCCTCTAGCCAGCCAGCCAGCCAACCACCCACCTACCGACCTACCGACCTATCCTTCCTTCCACTACTTATAAAGTCCTTCCCGGAGAATCCTGCACCTGCTACCCAGCAGGGGAGGGTTGGGCCCATTATGAATGGGGCCTGTCCCATGGATGATCTTCCCTTCATTAATTAGCTGGGCAAATGCACCAGCTCTCGCACCGACAAATGGGAAGCCTTGCGCCTGCGAACAGCCTGATTTTTTATCCGGGCTCTCCCATCTAATCTCCCTACAAGGAGGGAAGAGACTAGCAAGCCAGGGGGGGCGGGGGGGTGTCAGCATCTTCCCATCTTACCTGTCACCGACCCGACAAGGGTCACGGCAGCCAGAAGCCAAAGCTGGCAAGAGAAGCGCAGGACTAGGCTGTCTATCTACTAGGGTGGGAGTCTGCAACTACGTTCAGCACCCACCTGGCCGCCGTGTTGCAATGAGGGGAGTGGTGGGCACCCAAGAGGATTCCGTGGCGTAGGTGGTGCTAACCGTGGTTTTGGAAATGCTAGTTGTGAGGATGATAATTTGACGATTAGTTACTGGCCTGGGTGGCTCCTTCGCTACCGAGAGAGAGAAACCAAGATGGCAGAGGCGGGAAAAAATAAAGAAAAGGAAAGAAAATCAGAATGCCAATCCCTTAAGAGAGACTTCTCAGATCTAAGTAGCTTCTGTGACCGGGGGAAATGAATCAACTAATCATCTACTCATCTACTACAGGTCGACCCCCTCCAATTGCAACCGTTCGTTTAGGGGTCGATCGAAGTTACAGCGGCACTGAAAAAAGTGACTTAGTTTCTTCACGCTTACAACCATTGGAGCATCTTCACGGTAACGTGATCAAAAGATTGGACAAGCACTTGTCTGGAATGGTATATAGAGTTTCTTCGTTTCCGCAAGGGGTCAGACTAGAAGGCCTCCACGGCTCCTTCCAACCCTGTTATTCTGTTCATTGAGCTATTGGAAATCTTTGGATCACTTCCTTCGTTTAATCCAAGAAATCCGAACTGCCCAGGCGCTCTTTCTCGCGCTCTCTCGTTTAGCCAAAGCTCGATCTAGGAACAAACAGCCACCCTCTGAAGCCCCACAGCTGGGTTCTTACCATGGGTTGGGCACACCTGAGCCCCAATCCATCTGAACGGTTTCAGACGGGATTGGAAAAAAACAATCGATCGATCGATCAGATCCGATTTGAAACTAAAGCCAGACAGGATGGGGATTCCATCCAGTCCGAGTCCTTAAACCGCTTGGGCAACTCTGCAAAATAAGCATTGGTGCCGTCCCAAATGGGTCTGGATCCCTCCCGTGAGCGGCGAGGAATTAAACGGCCCCTTCGATTTGTCACATTAGCTGGAAAGACCCAATAAATTAAACTTTCACTGAGTCCATTCCAAATGTTCCTGTCGCTCCGTAACTGTCAAAGCTCCACATTGGTTTTCTCCCGGGCTTCAATTGCATGCGTAATCTCGACCGCCGTAATTTGTAAATTAATGTGGCGGGATGAAGATTTAATGGATCGCCTCCTCCTAGCCAGTCGGGGCGCTTTTCATCAGGCCGCGTTTGAAACAAAAGAAAACTCGAGATGGGAGGAATTCATTTCCCTTTCATTGCCTCACCCCCCACTCTCAGCAATTTCCTTTCCGCAGCCAATTAAAAAGGCCTTGTTAGCGGAAAGGCATCCTAAAGTTAACTTGGAGAAAACTTTGCTGCCGTTTTATTTTTTAAAGGGAGCAGAGAAACACGAGAGAAAAACAAATAACTCTCAATTTACAAACGTTCATTTAATGGCCGTTCGGAGTTACAATGGCACTAGAAAAAAACCGACTTATTATCCACCGTTTTTCACCGTTACAACCGTTGCAGCATTTCCGCGGGGATGGGATCAAAATTCAGACGCTTGGCAGCTGACTCATATTTATGATAGTCCTGAGCTCACGCGATCCCCTTTTGCGACCTCTGGTCCAGCAAAGCCAGTTACAACCGGAACGAGCCCCCACATTTTCTGTTGCTAAGTGAAGCATTTAGGTGAGGTTTTGCCTCACTCTATGACCTTCCTCGCCACTGTGGTTAAGCGGACCACTGCCATTGTTAAGTGAGTCACACGGCTGCAAAGTGCGTCTGGCGGGATCCCTGGGATGCTGCAGTGGTCGTAAGTGTGAAAAATGGCCACCGGTCCCTTTTTTCAGGGCTCTTGTAACTTTGCACGGCCACTAAACAAACTGTTGTAAGTGGAGGACCACCTGAATTGGATCTCCTGCCTATTATCATGACGACAATGATTTGAGTACAGTGGTATTTGACTGGAGAATATGAACACACTAATATTTGGGTACCCTAAACCTCTAGAGATAATCAATGTTCAGACAACGGAACGTGCTTTACCTATTTTCGCAGTTTATGACCGTGCTTGCCAGAGTGGCGAGGTGTGCCTAGAGGTGGCACTCTCGCCTCGCAATCAGGAGGCTGTGAGATCAATCCTAGGTAGCAGCAGATCTCCCTCTCTCTCTCTCTCTCTCTCTCTCTCTCTCTCTCTCGGCACAATGAGAATTTATCGGCTGGATATAACTCCTCCCTGGCAACAGGAGGGGTATCCGGCCAGTAAACACTCAGCTCCATTCAGCTGCCCCGATTCCGCCCCGCAAGGAATCATGGGGCCGTGCATCAAGGACTGTATCGTTCATTCCTAAGTATCACACGCACCTCCTCCTAAGAAAAGTGGCTGGGGACTTCAGCCATCTAAAGCAGTCTCTTTGATTTATAAGAGTTTAATTTAGTGCCCGCAAGGCTCTTAAGCCGGAGATGTGGAAAGCAGCCGTCCCTCCCTCCCTCCCTCCCTCGCCTCCTTCGAAAAACACTTTATTTCCTTCCTCGCCGCCTTGCTAACAAACCTCATGGGGGAAAGAAAGAACACGCCGGCACGACAAAGACAATGAGCTCTCCGACCGTACTCAAAGAGAGATGTTTGACAGGCGGGGAAATGAGGCACAATTAGAGAAGCAGACTTATGCTTGGACAGATGTTAGCGGAGACGGAAAAACAGGGATTGGGAAAGGGGGAAGAAAAAATTTAAAAAAATAAAAATAAAAGCTCCTTTTGGGCCATCCAACGGCATCTGCCGGGACTGTGCTAGCAAGCCTCTCCGCCTTTCAAGTTGGGTTGGCGGTTTTAGGGGAGGGTTGTGTTTTGGTTTTTTATTTTTCCTTTTAAATGTTGTTTCGTTTTACTTACTGCCAAAATTTGGAGCCGCACCTGGAAGAGAAGAAAAGGGGAGAGAAGGTCAAGAAAGGGGGAGGGAGCCAGACAGCAAGCTAATTTATGCCGCCTACAGTCAGCTCGTAAGGCAGATGGGTGGCATAAAAAATTAATAAATGAATAAATTAATTAAAAGTCTGTTCTCCAAGGGGCTACCACGAAGAAGAGGGGGGAGGGGTGTCAACCTATTCTCCAAAGCACCTGGAGGCAGGGCAAGAAACGAGGGATGGAAATGATGGAGAAGAACAGAGTTGGAAGGGACCCTAGAGGCCTTCTAGTCCAACCCCCTGCCTAGGCAGGAAACCCTGGACCATTGCAGTCTCTTTTTGGAAACCTCCACGGAGCACCCACCACTTCTGCAGGCAAGCCGTTGCACGGATTGATGGTTCTCGCGGTCAGGAAATTCCCCCCCCTAGTTCTAGGTTGCTTCTCTCCTCGATGAGTTTCCATCCGTTGCTTCTCGTCCGATTCAGGAGAGAAGCAACCTAGAACTAAGGGAGAAATTTCCTGACTGTGAGAACGATCAACCAGTAGAACGGCTCACCTCTGTCTAGAAGTTGCGGGGGCTCCATCACGGGAGGCTTTCAAGAAGAGACTGGACGGCCATTTGTCTGAAATGGGGTAGGGCAGGGGGGTCAAACTCGATTTCATTGAAGGCCGCATCAGGATTGTATTTTACCTCGGAGGGCCAGAGTGGGTGTGGCCAGAATGGGTGTGGCCAGCTCGACATCCCTCGTGTCAGGGGTGCCTGTGGTCGCCCGAGCCCTCTGCCAGAGCAAACAGGCTCCTGAGCTCCGTTTTCGGCTGCAACGGCCTCCTGTAAGTAACCCCCTGCCAACGAAAAGGGGGCAGCCCACCTGAGTTCTGCTTTGGCTGGCAGAGGCACCGCAGGCCAGTCTTTCGCCGTTTCCAGGGTGGCCCTGCGGGCCAGATCTAATCACCCCGCAGGCCGGATCTGGCCCCCGGGCCTTGAGTTTGACACCCCTGGTATAGGGTGTTGTGGTTAGTCGGCGGCAGGTGTGGATGGTGGAGGAGAGCGATGACCCAATCTTTCTGCTGATGATTTCAGGGGACCGTTTCTTGGACAACTCCTTTTCCTAGACTTCTCTACTTGGATTCATCCATGAGGTGACTTTCCCCTGTCTCCCTATCGCTGGTTTGGCTTTTGGCGGTTGAGATGTTTCTCCTTCCCGCGGTGGACTTGAACTCACAGCCGTCGTTCCCGCCATACTTACACACGTTCGGAGAACCGTTGGGACGGGGAAGGTAGGAGCCAGCTCTCCAAGACTTGCTCCGGAAATTCTTCTTGCATCTGCCACAGTCCTGTCCCGTTGTGTTATGTTCACATTCACACTGAAGACTTCCTTCCTTGAAAATGCACTGGTTGGCATGGAGATTACATTTACACCTGCAGGGGAAACAGAAGAGAGCAACGAGGTGTGATCCTCCGGGCTATCTGTAGAGGTATTTAAAAATGTATGTCAGACTCTTTTGAGTTGAAATCCTCAAAGCAACTTGCACTGACATCACAGAAATATTAAAATAGAAAAGCATTCAGAAGTCATTAAATAGCAGAACATCCAAAGCGGGGACCTGCATTTCAATGAAGGCACAAACTCTCAGGAACTCTCAAAGCCAAGATTTGTCTGAAAACCAAAAGATACAGATTAGAGAGGGGAAAACCTGGCAAAAGAATCGCCCCCTTGAGAGGGATCTTGGAGTCCTTTTGGAGCATCACTTAAATACGAGCCAGCCGTGTGTGGCAGCTGCCCCCAAAGCTAACGCAATCCTGGGTTGTATAAAAACAGAATCAAAATCATGCAAAGTATTAGTCCTGCTTTATAAGACCTTGGAATAACCTTGGAATACTGCATCCAGTTTTGGTCACCAACATTGTAAAAAAGACGTTGAGACTCTGGAAAGAGTGCCGGGAAGAACAACAAGGATGATTAGAGGACTGGAGGCTAAAACATACGGAGAACAGTTGTAGGAATTGGGTTTGTCTAATCTAGTGAAAAGAAGGACTAGGGGTGACGTGATAGCTGTCTTCCAATATTTGAGGGGCTGCTCCAAAGAAGAGGAGGGGGTCAAGCTATTCTCCAAAGCCCCTGAAAGGCAGGACAAGAAGCAACGGATGGAAACTGATCCAGGAGAGAAGCAACCCAGAACGAAGGAGGAATTTCCTGACAGGGAGGACAATTAATCGGCGGAGTGGCTTCCCTACAGAAGTTCTGGGTCATCACTGGAGGCTTTTAAGGAGAGACTGGACAGCCACTTCTCTGGTTGATTCATATTTATGACAAGTTTTGCAGTTTAAGGACATGTTTAGAAAACCAAGTTAAAAGTTTCTCCCTATTTGGCAGGAGGCCTCGGGAAGCAAGTCCCCCTCGAGACCCCACCAGCCTCATGGAACGGATGCAATATTAGAAAAACTCCACAGAAGACCTCCAAAGAACCTTTCCAGCCCTGTTAATTCTGTTATCCTCTAAGGAAGAGGAGCTCAGCCATGTTTGAAATAGCTGCATGTACCTTTGAAATTGTGTTTTTGGGGACAGGTGTGTGTGGGAGCGGGTCACTGTTTCATGCCTTCCTGAACAGCCAGATCTAAACGAAAGAATGAAACCAGCAAGTCGCTCTCTTCAAAAGTTAGGCAGGCAAGCAAATAATTCATCGACAGCAAATCCATGAACAGCAAATGACAGGAACAGCAAATTAATGTCGCCACGATTGGATCCAAAATCCGGAGAGATGTTCCAAACAAGAGGGGAAACGGGTTATTCAGAGAAGACGAAATGTATAGAAATTCAATGAAATCTTGCTTTCATCGACAATTTTGGGGCCGACGGGTGATCCTGGGGAAAATTGACAAATTTATGCCACTTGCACCCCTTTTGTAATTACACAATTGACATTTTTATGCCTGTTTTCTAATTATGCCAAAAATTTAATTGTGTCATTGTGCAGTTATGCAAATGATGTGCATTTATATAGATGAGAACAACTGTGTCATTGTTATCAGTTTGTTTTGAAGAGAATGGACTTTGCTTGTTTGGGATTTAATTCCAAGATAGATGGATGAATGATAGATAGATAGATAGATAGATAGATAGATAGATAGATAGATAGATAGATAGATAGATAGATAGATAGATAGATATGGATAGGTAGGTAGGTTGGTCCATAGATAAGATGGATGGGGATGGATGGATAGGTGTCTAATTATATTCTCTATAATATATTCTCTATAATTCTCTACATAGATTATAGAGAAGATACATAGGGATGGATGGAAGATAGATAGATACGTAGATAGATAGATAGATAGATGATAGAGATAGATAGAGGATGGGGATAGATAGATAGATAGATTGGTTACACATAGATTATAGAGAAGATACATGATGGGTGGAAAGGAGCATTTAACTGGAGGACTTCTCTGGAATGACACTCAAGTGCGAGGTCCAAAACCTCATGAGATCTTAGACAACCAGGATTGCACCGGCCACCTCACATCGTGGAATTTAGAGACAACATTCCAGCCAACAAGTGCTGCGGCCCCCAAATCCCCAATTCCAATTTTGGGGTCTGCTACCATTGACCCCATCTCAAGTGATCCTCTCCAGCTTGGAGCCATCCATCCTCTCCTCCTCCATGAAGTTCTTTCTACCTTCCCCGCCTCCGCCTGGCCTCCTTAATTACAGCTCCGGCATTCCTAATCTGGAGCTTGTGTGAAGAATGACCAAGTTGGCCCAGATGCCTCCCTCCCGTCGCCGATTTCGTTCCGTCTCATTGAATTGTCCCCCTTGTTCAGCTCTTCCATTATCTCCGCATTCTTGACAAGTTCCTCGGGAGTCAACCGCCTCTTACACGGATAATTGCTGTTCCAAATCAAATAATCAATGCATATTTAAGTAACGGTGAGACAGTTCCTCGCCTTTGCGCGGGGCCCCTGAACACTCAAAGTCAATCCCTTCGCATCCGTATTTTGCTTTACGGCGCGTTCCAGGAACAAACGATAATCTACCGTCCCCGACAGATCAGTAGCAAAGATGACATGGGGGAAAAAAAAAGGCAGATTAAAAAAGAAAGAAATATCACACGCAACCAGCAAATGAAGATGAAACCAAAAGCACTCTGTGTTTTCCAGGTTATCTAAGAAATAAAATATGAACTCATTTTTTCCTCCTTCCTCTTCGCCCATCGCTGTTCTAATGAAAGCTTCTTTCAGAACCTTAATAAGATTTGAGATTTGCCTCCTAACCCCTTGAGCCGCCTCCGTTTTTCTCATCACGTCACATCTGGAGAAACGAGACGTTACCCGTCAATAAGGAGAGTTGATCACTGAGAAGCAGTTCGGCGAAGGTGGATGGGGGAACTGAGGAGGTAGCTGAGATTTGGGACTCTTTAGCCGGAGATTACAGAATGATATGGTTGAAAGGGAACTTGGAGGTCTTATAGTCCACCCCTGTGGGTGTCCAGTCTCTTCTTGAAAAACTGCCGTGACAACTTCTGGAGGCAAATTATTCCACTGATTAATAATTTTAGGTTGGTTCTCTCCTTCATCAGTTTCCACGTGTTGCTTCTTGTCCTGCTCTCAGGTGCTTCTGAGAATAGGTTGACCCCCTCACCTGTGTGATACCCCTCAAATATCCGAAGACCGCTATCATGTCACCCACTCTTGGTTAGACTAGGAGGCTAAAAGCTAACATGGATGATTGATTCAAAAGGGATTCTGCGGCTGTTTTTCCACCAGCGCCCAGCAACCAACGTCCAGATAAGCAGGGATTAACACCAGGCAAATGATCAAAGAGAGAAAACAATATCCCAACCAAGGAGGAAATCACACCTTCACCAAGACTGAAAGGAGAAGCTACTGTATATCAACAGAGAGCAGACCCCTGACTCACTTTCACTGATGATGTTACCCGGTTGGGTAATAAAATGTCTGCAGCGAGCCACAGCACCACAGACCCATAATCCTCCTCCTCCTCCAATCCCACTCCCTTCTAGCACTGATGATGTTATCTAGTCGGATAATGAAATGTCTACAGAAAACAGCCAAGCTCCGAGAGCATCAAGGACTCCACAAACGAACACATTCCTGGAAGTATTTTCAGGTTTTCCCCTCCCCCGGGTGGATTCTCTTATCTCATCCCCGTTTTTGTTTCCTTTCCTTATCCTTTTTACGAGGAGAAATTCTTTGTGAAATTGAGAGTTTGCTTTCAGTCAAAAGTAAAAAAAGAAAGAAAGAAAAAAAGCCATAACACCAAGCTGGACCATTCTCAAAGCAAGAGACAGATGGAAACCGGTGCTCCCACCCCGAGGAGATTGGCTTCCAGCCCCGCTCCATCACACGGGGAGAAGAGAGAAAATCTGAAAATCTGAACCTCGGTCTCACTATAAATAGAGCCAGCGTTTAATTCACAGGAGTTATGGGAAGGTTTTTACAGATGCTGTACAATAAATCTGTTTATGGGGAGTGATAAATCTTTGAAAATCAATTCTTGGAGCTTCTTCTGCCTGTTAGCAAACCAGGCCACGTGTTGGAGGCCGTCCCTACTATTGGCAACCTTAAATGGGTGGACTACAACTCCCAGAATTCCCTAAGCAGCGTGGAATTCTGGGAAGTGGAACCCAAGCATCTTAAAACTGCTGAGGTAGAGAAACGCCGTTTCGACTCACTGCGTCCTTGCAGCGTTTCCCTTTTCTGTAGTCTGCTCCAAAATTGTAATCCAGGTGAAAAGGGAAAGATTTAGTTCATTCTTCAAATCCATAAGCCTATCAACTTCCATTGTCCAGGGTTTCAAGACCGTAGCTTTGATTTCTGGAGCCCAGAGCCTGCCTGCCTGCCTGCCTTCTCTCTTTCTCTTTGTCCTGTCCTGTGTCTGAATTATTTGGGGAGTTTATGATGACGGTTAATTGAGAAAAAGGAAGGAAGGAGAGAGAGAGGAAGGAAGGAAGGAAAGAAGGAAATTAAATTAAGGAGGAAACCATTCCAAGGTACAGAGAACATGCAAATACATTTAGGCAAAGTGAGGAAACTCAATAATTAGTCCGTAATTAATATGCATCTCCTTAATTGGATTGCTCATAATGGGAGCCTTCAGCTCAGGCCATGCCACTAATTTCAATTTCACTCTGTCCATCCAGGCAACTTTAAGGTCTGGCAGCTGTTAAATAAAGGAGAAAATTAGATTGACCAGAGCGGAGTTCTCTTCTGATCTTTCCTACTTTGTATGCAGGTGCTCCCTAGACAAAGCAAGAAGAAGTGAGATTGAAAAGATCCTTCCCTCCCTCCTTCCTTCCCTCTCTCCCTCCCTTCCTCCCTCCCTCCTTCTTCCTTTCCTCCCTCCCTCCTTCCTTCCTTC